ACATTCACACACACACTCATACATTACAGACAATTTAGCTTACCCAATTCACCTGTACAGCATATCTTTGGACTGTAGGGGAAACCGGAGCACCCGGAGGAAACCCACGCGAAGGCAGTGAGAACATGCAAACTCCACACAGAAACACCAACTGAGCCGAGGTTCGAACCAGCGACCCAGCGACCTTCTTGCTGTGAGGCGACAGCACTACCTACTGCGCCACTGCCTCGCCAAACTAAATTATTATTAATTATAAATCAAATTAATTAAATTAATCCAAATTAAAACTGCCAATTCTTTCTGCTCTAGGGTTCCTAGGGTATGTGTAATATTTTTTTATTTACATTTTTTAAGGACAACAGTATCTCTAGCAGAAAAGATATTCAAAGATAGCATTTTAAATTGTAAAGAAATCTGTTTTTTAACAAATGAAGACAGCAGAAGTCGATGATTTAATTATTGAATTATTTAGCCTGCCACTGTTTACATGTTTACTGTTCCAAAATATTTTAAATGTTTCTCAAAATAAAATATACTGTGTTTAAAGTGGAAAATATTTTTGTTTTTTACACAGACATTTAAAAAGAATATATTTAAGAGCAGTAACCAAAATATTAGGAAACTGAGAAAACGTGATATTTGTATCCAAGGTTATCATTCCATCCGAATCTTGTACCGGCCCATGCCTAGACCAGTTGGCATTTCATTGTCGAGTTTGCGTGTTCTCCTGATGCTCCAGTTTTCCCCACAGCCCAAAGACATGTGCTACAGGTAAACTGGATGAACTAGATTGGCTGTACTGTATGAGTGTGTGTGTGTGTGTGTGTGTGTGTGTGTGTGTGTGTGTGTGTGTGTGTGTGTGTGTGTGTGTGTGTGTGTGTGTGTGTGTGTGTGTGTGTGTGAATGAGAGATTGTATGGGAGTTGTGGCCGGAAGGGTATCTGTTGTGTAAAACATACCAGAGTAGTTGGCAGTTCATTCCGCTGTGGCGACCTCTGATAAATCAGGGACTAAGTCAAAGGAAAAGTAATAAATTAATTATGAGTAACTTAAAAAAATTAAGGCAGCAGCATTTTTTATAAAGTGAGGCTTGTCGAAAGTATGAGTATTACTAAAACAACGAGTGTAAAACAAGCAAGCTTGTAAGACTTGTTTGAATAAACTATTTGGCTTTTTCTCTGTTTATAATGGTCTCGTTCCTGTTTGCTGTTTTTTCAACCATAGTCTGACAACTCAAGTGTGTCACAGTTTGTACCTCGGTCTATTTCCCTGTTATTTCTCACTCTAGGTAGTTGGTTATTGCGAGCATAAAGTAGTGATGTGCTTGAAAACATCACTAGCCAATTGTTGTACTTTCTGCTTAAGACTGCAGTCTTCATGCAGTGTTTGTAAAAATGCATTTTTCATTCTTCGGTTATTCACCCTATTCTTCACCGACGAGCGGGTGCAGCCATTTGAATCTTTTTGGCTCAAGACTTCCTGTCTCATTCACTTCCATTCATTTTTGTACTTTAAAAACTGCTTGTTTCACTGTTTGATGTCGCAAACTCATATTTACCTCATTATATTATGCTACTTGGTCTATATAGTCATGCAAACATTTGTTTATAGAGCAAGTAGTTTGACCGATTTCTGCCATTAATTATTCCTAATTATTTCTCCCATAGGCGACTGAATCGGAAGTTCTAAGACAATCGCGAAAACATGCGCACTTCCGCATTTTAGAATAAGGTTAATACTATTATTGCAAATGTATGTGGACCAGATGAGTTGCTAAGCTTGTTGACACAGGGGCACTGGCCCTAGAACCACCACTGACTGTGGATTCACACAAGTTAGTGCACTTTCAGAGCTGGGTTGTGTAATCAGTGATTCATTCTGCTGTGGTGACTCCAGATAAAAAAAGAGAATAAGCTGGAGAAAAGCAAGTGATAAATCATGATTTAATTCTATAAAGACACTTTTTGCTGAAACATTCTGAGAAACACAAATCAGTCAAAAATCAGAACATTTTGTCTTTTTTTCCATGTGTACGACTCTTTCTTAGTATTGTCAGGTGGCACTTCAACAGGACATCTTGCTCATTCTCAAAATGTATAGGTTGTCTGAAATGCATACAAACTATATTAAAATACTGACCAGGGATGAAGTAAAAATACTAGCAATATGTCTTGTTGTGTGCCTGCCAACCTTTGCTTCTCTTTGTTTACTTTTTGGGGTACTTTTACTTTGGGATTCGGTAACACTTTAGAATAACTACACGTTATAACTAGTTTATAGATCATCAATATACTGTAAGTTAATAGGTTATAAATGACCTGTTAAATTAAAGTTAATATTTTGTTAATTATTTATAACTGTGCCTTATAGATAGCCAATAGATAACTTAAAAGCTGTTAGTTACAAATTATAAATGACTTGTTAACTGTATTGTAATGATTTATAACTATACATAATAAATTAATTGTAGATCATGAACAAGATGTTGGTAAATTACTTACTAAAGACTTGTTCATTATAAGTTAATAGTTTACATATGTTATTAGGACGTTATTCTACAGCTGCAACTATTCTTCATTTATTAACTGCTAGTAAACGAGGAATAGTTGCAACTAAAATAACGTCCTAATAACATACTTAAGTTGCTAACACTTAATATATTAACAAACACTTTACAGATCAGTTGTTCATAGTTTGTTAACCATCTACTAATACCAGTGAAACTTTGTAGAACAGCAAATGGATGAACAAGTTCAAGCCACAGAAATTTGATGTGATATTTAAAATATAAAATGTTTGTACCTTAACGTTGTTCCACTTATTTTCTGTGTGCTGTATTTTACCAAAGAAACTCCACATACGGAATGTTGAACATTGTGTTTAATCTATAGAAACACACATACTGAGCCATCACATAGCAGAACAGCAGTATACAACATGAGGTTTGGGCACTGTTTGTACTAAACATGAAAATAAAATAAATAAAAATTTATTTTATTAGAAAAGTTCTACAAAGTTCACTGGTATTAGTAGATAGTTAACAAACTATGAACAACTGATCTGTAAAGTGTGAGTTAATCAATTAGTTAAGTGTTAGTTATTAGCTCATGTATGTTATTGGGACGTTATTCTAGTTGCAACTATTCCTCATTTACTAACATTTAATAAATGAAGAATAGTTGCAACTTTAAAATAACTTCCCAATAACATATATAAACTAATAACTGATATTTAACATGTCTTTAGTAATTAATTTACCATCATCTTGTTCATGATCTATTACTATTGCATTAGGTATAGCCATAAATCATTAAAATACAGTTAACAAGTCATTTATAACTTGTTAACTAACAGCTTGTAAGTTATCTATTGGCTATCTACAAGTCACAGCTATTTACAATTAACAAACTATGAACTTTTATTTAACAAGTCATTTATAACTCATTAACTAACAAATCAGTTAACTAGTTATAATGAATAGTTATTCTAAAGTGTTACCAGCAGTTTATGAAATCTGTTCAATGACACATCTGGTCAATGGGTGATATGGATGTTACAACAATTGTGTGTTAAAAGGAACCTAAAAGGCTGCAGTGTATAATGTGTTGCCCATGATCCAGATCTACTAAACCAAAGCACCCTATAACACTTAAAAAAAAAAAAATGTGTCATCAGTGAAAGGTTGTGGTAACAATTTTGACCTTTTTTCAAAATAATCCTTGGGTATAGTACTTTTTTTTTTTTTTTTTTTTTTTTTTTTAGAATATTTGCTCAGAGTGAGCACACATAACTTTCAGTAAACCGAATCTTGTTAGTGAGACGAAAGTGGCTTCATTTCCTATAACTTACAGTTGAGATAACTGGCCCCATTTTATACTCAGTGGCATAATTATTATGTACATACATTTAAATTAATCATTTAGTACAATGTACTTATTGTGAAGACATATTTTACATTGTACTGATATTTAAAAATAGATCTGCTTGTAATCAATTTTTGTAGTTACATTTGTAATTACAATGTTGACCCATCCCTTACCTTAACCCAACTTTCATCCTACCCATAACCCCTGACCTGTCCCTTAATTTACCCATATCCAACTTCAAGAGCACCAGCAATACTGTATGAGCACAATAAGTTCATTGTATGTATTTATTCTAATGTAAGTATATAGTAAGTAAGAATACATAATATAAGGCTTGGACTGGTAACAGATTTTACCAAAGATTTATAGACAGACATTTTTCTAAGATAAGCATTATTTCAAAACTAATTCATGTTGTAAAATTAGGAAAAAAAAAAATAAATAAATTAACACTTTACAATATGTGCCATGTACTAGTTAATGTATTTATTATTAATGTACTTTACATGAACAGACAATGTGCAATATGTTTGTTACAATATTTATTCAGGTTTGTTAACATTAGTTAATGAAAAAACAGTTGTTCATTGTTAACACAAAGTGCACTGATCAGTCTTAACAACTTAAAAGGCACAATGTTGGATATCAATAATGCATCAGTAAATTGTCACCTTAGAATTATCAGATTTTATCTGACATTTTTGTCAAAAGTTATTGACATATTCTTAATAAATGACAACTTATTTACATTATGGGATTTTTTTTGTTATTATTTAAAAAATACTTTTATTAAAAAAAAAAAAAAAAAAGTTACACACATACTGTTTGCTATATGGAATGCAAAAACCTTGAAGCTAGCACAGAGAGCACAGATAGAACCTTATAATTCCAAGGTGACGAAATGTTGAACTATGATCAACAAATACTTTAAAGGCATTATTCACATTGAACATGAACTGATGTTAACCACGTGTCCTCTATTGTCAAGTTTTACCAAAAAAAGTTATTATTAGAAATATTATTTCAGGCTTTTATAAGTAAAGTGACTGTTTTCTAATGGTAACAAATCATAACGCTTCATCTTCTTTCTTTTTTTCCATGTGTCCCTTAACATCCTCTTTCTCAATGTTTTCAGGTGGCACAGCTGCAGGACAGCAGGTGCCGAGTTGTCCGCCAGTGTCTGAAAACAGCAGCGCGGCTCACAGTATCGGCAGCACACAGAGCACACCGTGTTCAAGCAGCAGCAACGCGTAGAACAGCTGGACTGACTTCTGCTTGCAGTGCCATTTGTGGAAGAACATGTGAATAAGTAGCACAACAGGCCTTTTTATTTTCATTTTTTGAACTGAAATGTTTAGGCTGAGTATACAGTCCCGTTGAAATAAGCTACGTTTACAGATGAGGGAAGAAACAAAATTGAGATCTTTATTTTTTTTTTCTTGAACTCCACAAGAGTGCTGTTTTTGCCTTAAATGGTTGAGATCAGTGTGAAAATAACAAAGGCTGTTTACAGCAGTCATTATGGCTCGAAGGCAGTCTCCAGCAACAGTTAGTACTGTGAGGTTACATAAGGGCTCTGTCTGGCTGTAAACAGAGATGCCTTGGCAAATCAAGTATAGTTATATGGGTCAAAGACAAGACGTCCCGTTTTGGTATATATGCATCAAAATCATTTATAGATGGTTTAAAGCATGTTCAATGCAAGTGAAGTGTCTACTACAAAGTTTTGAATAACTTTAGTGAAAATGCAATCTTTAAAAATTGTGTCATTCAGCATTATCATTTACATTGTAAAAAATGCTGGCTTCCAGACAATTCATTTGTGTTAGGAAAACATGAAGGAATTAAGTTAACTTGTTAGTTTTTTTTCAAATGTATGTAGATTGAACTTAAAACAATTAAGTTTCCCCCTAAAAAACTCAAGAACTGTGTTGTTTAATGTCAATTTAAATACGTAGTTTTATCAAAAAGCAATTTTTTTTATAGTGTGTAATGAATACAAAACAAACAAACATTTTTTTTTGCTTTAAAACAGGGGTCTCAAACTGCATTTGCATCATCTGGCCTGCAACTGACGTCAGAAATATAAAAAAATTCGACCCAACAAAACTTTTTAATCACTACCATTGTACTGTCGCAAATAGCCACTTGTGGTTTTGACCCCCACCTACTGGGCATTTAAAGTACTGCACTTTATATTCAGGATACTTTTGGTTTCTCTTAGCATGTGGTCAAGAGTTATGAACATGCAGATTATATCTGGAGCTGATTTAAACGTTGAAATATATGTCCATAAGAGCTCTATTTTTACTAAAGCTCTATTTTTGTAAATATTCAAGGGTCATTTGATTATAATCCGTTTTATATCACCTGTATTGTGTTGTACAAACACATCTCCATAGCTTACACATTATGCTGGTGGTGTAAATATGATAATTTTGCTAATATTCAAATTAAATAGTCTCATTTAATAGATTTTCCTCATATGCATATTAAGATTTGTATAAGAATGTGCATTTGTAAAATTTGACTGCTGACTGAATTGAACATGTTCAAGTTTTACAAAAAAAAGAAAGATATTGAGAAGAACAATTGCTAGTAAAGTCACTAAAGTTACCCAGTCTGCTTTCTGCTGTTCTTGCTATATTTGTTAAACTTCTGCTTATAAGCAACAATTGATTGAGACAGAAAAAATATAGTTATTATTATGCCTATTATTATATTGAAGTATTTTCATAGCAATTTAAACTACCCCTTTAATATGCACATTAAGAAACAAAAAGATGAAGCTTTGACTGCATATACACTGGGGAAGAATGTCTGAGTGCATCAATTACATCAGGTTTCCACTTTTTTGTTGTGCTTGAATGTTAAAGAGCCCTCCCAATTGTCAGTCACTGACAGTTTGAGACCTCTGCTTTAAAAGCTGCTGTTACACTGAATAATATTTTAATGGGGATCTGTTGTGATCTTGAGAAAACATTTTCCATTGCCATTACTTTTTTTGCTAAAAAATGGAATTAAACAGGACACGTTCTAATGTATATAAAAATGAGTAACACTTATAAAATAGTTAATGAATTTACAAACATGAACAAAGAACGAACTATACATATATTACAGGATTACTTTTAACATTTTAACAGTTCTTGTTAATAATCAATAAAGCCTGTACTTGTATTATTCATTCTTAGTTCATGGTGGTAAACACATTAGCTAATCTTTACTAATGGGACCGTATTATAAAATCAAACCAAAAAAATCAGTTAAAACTGTATTAACTTTAATTTTTGATGTAATATATTTTCATCTTTGACCCATATAAAATATTTGACTAGATATGAACAGAATATGTTTATCTTTTTTTTTTTTTGGTAAATGTTAAAAAGGTCAGTTTGTCCATATGTGACTCTTAATACCCAGATACGTAATGGTATGCTGCATTGTTCATAATTCATACTATAAGTTTTATCTGCATGATGGCTCCGCAGTCTTCAGCATTCACGTTTTGTAAAAAAAACTTTTTGGCAGTCTTTGGAATATTGTAAAATAATGTATATTCTGTGAATATTGTATGAAATTCATAGAGATTTAAAGTGGAATTAACTCCAAAAAGAAAAACTTTAGCTAAAACCAAATATTTATCAGAGGTTTAATAAATGTGTTAAAATGGAACATCATACATTTACACATACATGCACAAGCTCTTTCCCTCAAATGGAAAGTCACAATAAAATAATAGACAAAAATGTGTGTATAAAAATGTAGATAGCATTTGCTTTTAAATATGATGTTATTTTTATTCTCCCAAATGTTGATGTGTGCCACTATCAGAGTCTCTGTCATTTTACAAATGAATAGAATATAAAAATATAACATCAAAAATGGACTAATAGATTGTATAGAATGTGATTTTAAAATGCTGGGCATTAATATTCAACATTAGTCTAAAAAGTAGTCATTTTAGCATTTACATTTTGATATTTTCTTCTTAAGTTACTGAAATCAAAGGAAAGTTTGTTAAGAATGATTTAAACCATCTCAAAAGATGTACATAATCTGATGCCAAAAGAATGGCCGTTTATTTTCCAGCCTTTAAATATTACTGCAGCCCTGCGGTGTACATGTTTAGGTACTAACCTACCACTAAATTGAACACAAAATCAAGATTTCTCTAAAATATCATGACGCTTTTTTGGAATTCTGCTGTGAATGTGCAGAAGTTAACATTTTGGCATTTTGATAAAACATACGTACAGACTTTTACTGCAAAGAGAAATGTTTGAGTGCAAACAAAGCCAGAGCAATCCCACCGTCAAAACTTTAAATGAATGTCATAACATTGCGAGTGCCTTAACTTTAAGTATAAGCATTTTATATACTTACAAAAAAAAATTAAATGAATGAGGCAAGAAGGGAAGTGGGCTTTGCTACGCTTTAAGCACAGTTTAAACCCACTGATGTGAAAATCCGCCAAATATATGCATTTAGTTGTTTGTTTTTAGCGTCTAATGTTGTTTGTGTGTGTATGTTTGTGTATGTGTGTGTGTTGCTTGCTACAGACTGTACTTATAGAATGTACTTTATTTCAATCCTCTATTTCTTTGTAAACTTGTATAAATATCTCCTGTAAGAGGAAAGAGAGTGAGAATTGAAACATTTATTTGTGTATAAAGTTATATATTTTTTCCAGAGATCTATATACATAGAGCTACCCTATAATTCTATCTGCATACTGTGAATTTTTGTGGGCATATTTCTATAAATGTTGTGTTTTCTCTAAATCCAAACATAGTCCTTGATGCTGAAGTGAGCTGCATTCACTTATATTGGCCTGAAATAATCAATTAAAGTGAGATATTTTATTATAGATATGTATATTTTTACAAGTAACTTTCATATGAGAACACTATATTATTTGGAATACAAAATATATTTTGGTTTTATCTCTCTTTTAAGCTCTTTGTTGTTTAAGTGTCTGCGTGTGTGTTTCGTCACACTGTAAGCTCTGTGTATTTTTTAAGTGAATGAATGAATGAAAATTCTTAAATCATGAAGCATGTTCAGACAAGTGAAAAGTATTGTTTTAATTTCAGATATAATGAGTTAAAACATTAAATTGAAAGCACAATAATTGGATAACACTTTAACTACACTATAAATCATTTATTAAGCATTATTAAATAGTTAATTCATTATATCTTTAGCATTAACTTTACATTAATAGATGTTAGTAAGCAGTTTATAACTGCAGATACAAATACGCTATTATTTACTTATAAGCACATTTATAATGCGCTTAATTATTGGAATTTCATACTTTATAATTATTATTTTTTATTATTACTAAATGAAGTATTGCATCATTTACAAACCAGTTTTTTTGAGAGTTGCTGGTTTTTAAGATCATTCAGAATGCGGAATAAACTATTTAATAAACTATTAAAATTAACATTTATAATTCTTATTATTCAGTATGATGATAATAAATGGTTTATTAAGTCAACTTTATCCAGTTCCGTGACCTAATGTAGTGATTTATGCTTTATAAATCCCTTATAAAAAATCCCTTTTTATTTTAAACAGGGAAAAATAATAATAAAAATGACTTTATTTATTTCTATTCATTTGACGATACACAAATTACACTGTATCAAATAAAAAATAAAACTTGCCAATCTTAACTAAAACAAAAATTACTGCGCAGTTTAAGCATTGCTAAATAACAGAAATGTTGCATCATAATATATTGTTAAATTATTTTATTGTTGTTGTTTTATACCAATTCCGGCAATGTTTAACCTTTACAGTAGTTTGACTTTTTTTAGGTACGATTGGAAAGATTTATCGTTCATTTAATACTAAGCCTTTGTCATTTATTGGGGATTTATAAAGCATAAGTCCTCACTTTAGATTAGCTCACAAAACTGAATGAAGTTGAGTTAATAAAGCATTTGTTAACATACATTTTAACTATTAATATATGCCTAAATAATAAGATATAAATGTTGAATTGAATAGTTTATTAATCATTTACTTATGCATTCTGAATGATCTTTAAAAAAAAACAACTACTCTTAAATACAAATGTTATGTAAAGAATGTGATACTTAATTTAGTCGTGAAAAATGAATCAGTGACAAAGTAACAATTATTAAGCACATTTTAAATGTGCTGACAAGTCAAGAATAGAGCATTTGTATCTGTAGTTATAAACTGCTTGTTAACTTCTATTAATATAGTTAATGTTTAACATATAATAAATTTATTTCCTAAAGCTTAATAAATGACTCATAGTGTGTAGTTACTATAAAGTGTTAGCAATTACTTTATTTAACCCAGATTGGCAAATTTTTGGTGTAGTTTATTTATAAACTAATTTCGAATGGATCGCGTGATTATGATTTACCACAGCAGGTCCCGCATTAGCTAATAATGATCCTCCAATCATATGATTCCTAAGTCACTATAAATAACCACAGTCTTCATTCCACAACTATCTTCGTCTGGAACCCCCCCCCCCAAACCTTTCCCACCACCACCCCCTCCTCCCCTTCTCTTCCTCCTCCTCACAGCACGGCAGCCCAGTGGTTAGCACTGTTGCCTGATAGCAAGAACATCACCAGCTCTGTTTCTTGCCAGGCCGGTTGGTGTTTCTGTGGAGTTTGCATGTACTCCCGGTGTCCACATGGGTTCCCCGGTTTCCTTTCACTGTGCAAAGATATGCATCATATGTAACAGACTGAGCCAAATGGACACTATCGTCTAGCTCCCAACATCAGTATTATTAAAATAGTTCACCTTAGCCACTTCAGCCAGGGAGTTTTTGAGCTCTACCTTAGCTCAATCTCCCGTTTCGCCCTGCAAATGGGAGGATCCCTTGAGCTCAGGGCTCTCTCCCAGGACAGCATGCCAAACAAGCTTATTATAAATCATCAGCTAACTTGAAACTTGTTTTAATGAAAAGCTCACTTTAAAAAAAAAAATAAATAAATAAATAAAACACCATTATTTAGCTGTCATTATATTGCTTCTTGATTTAAGAATTTATAGATATTTGGACTCGAAACATGACAAAAACTGTAAGAAACTCTTTTTGAAGTGTGTGAATTTCCTATAGTATTTTGTCTCTTGGGAATGTTTAAAATGATGCTGTCATGTCTAACAGAGGTTGAATCTCTGTAATGGAGAGTCATTTAATGGCTGTAGAGGAAACAGAGGCCTTATTGCTTTTCTCCAGAGGCCTTTCTCTCATTCCAGTAAACACTCTTTATTTTCGAACATAAGTTGATTCTGCTGTTTTACGCAGTGCTGTTTTTGTACGCTGAATAGTAAAATCGATTGTGCTGTCTTTCTCTGATATCTACCTCATTTGTGCGCGTCTGTGTGTGTCTTGTCATCAATATTATTTGACTGTACATACTGTATTGTGTTAGATAAAATATATCACGTCAACTATTTGATCTTATAGATTTGACAGTTCACGCCGTTTTGGTCATCTGAAAGATGTACTGTAAATGTGAACTTATCAGAAGTCGACTTCAACATTTCTAGGCTGACTTGCTCTGAAACTACACACTTTTTGTGACTATTTTGTATTTGTTTGTGTTTTGGTGTTTATTGCTATGTGAATCTTTGTAGTGTTTGTAAATAGAACGTGCTGTAAATATGCATGCTTTATGTATGCTATGTATATACCAAATAAATTCTTGTAATCTTTTGAGAGTTTGTTTTGTGTGCTCATTTCAGACCTACACTATAGGCACCATTTTTTCAAGTGGTTTAACAGGGACATTACTTATTCACCTTATTCTCCGCCAACGAGCGGGCGCTGCCATTTGAATCTTTTTGACTCGAGACTTCCGGTCTCATTCACTTCCATTAATATTTTTGACGTTAAAAACTGCATGTTACGCTGCTTGATGTTGCAATTTGATATTTTTTTTATTATATTTTTCTACTTGGTCTGTATAGTCTTGCAAACATTTGTTTGTAGAGCAAGCAGTTTGACCATTTTCTGCCGTTTATTATTCCTAGTCATTTCTCCCATAGGCGACTGAATCGGAAGTTCTAAGACAATCGCGATAACAGGCGCACTTCCGCATTTCAGTATAAGGTCAATACACATCAGTGTACATTTATTTCCATTAAAACTGAAATATGTATATGTTGATTGCCTTTATAAAGTATTGTTATCATGTGTAATACTGTAATCAGCTCTTTCACCAAAGAATTCAAACATGTGCATGTGTCACGATCACCAGCGATCTAACCACAAGAGTTCACTGGAAAACATTCACACTCACATGAACTACAATTCTGCCTCATAATTTGACTACAAAACCCAGTCATGCATCACACACACAACCAGTTCTAGATCCTGACTGATTACACTCACAGCTGATGCTGCTCAATGACAGATTACACACATATATATTTGGCTCACTTTGAGACACGGCTCATGGCTGAGTCTTGTAATCTGTTCTAGAGACGTTACAATGCGTTTCCTTTGTCTTGCTTTACCATGCTTTTGATCCTTGCCTTGTTTATTTGTTTAATCCTGTTTGCTGCCTGCCTCTGACCATCTGCCTGCCTATTGATTACAATTCTAGACATATACATCTGTTTCCTCCTGTGTTGACCACAATTGGCCCAACTTTGCTAATAAACCTGCATGTGGATCTGCACCCCTGTTGTCAGTGTCAAATCCCTGGTTAAAGCATGCTGTAAATCGAGTAAAACTTTTTTTTTTTTTTTGCTTGCTGTAGTCTTTTTTTTTCTGTCTGTAAAACTGAGTATTATTATTATTATTATTATTATTATTATTATTATTATTATTACAGTTTACATTTCACTGATTTAAATGATCTGGGCTGCGTTTCCCGATAACGATTGATCTTAGCACTTAAGAGCGTTTTCTACGGGTCATTTTGCGAACGTTCGTTATTGTTTCACGTGCGTTTCCCAAAAATGCACTTAACACAATTGCACGTAGCCCAGCTTTAAGTGCAACTTAGGAGTCGCTATCCGTTTGTTAAGTGCTGAAATGTCACGCTATAGAATGGCTCGTTATTGTTGCACATGTTATAGCAATCCATATAATTCTTCTTCTACTTGTGTGAATGTATATTCAACTCGAATAACATAAAAAAAAAATATTTTTGAGCCAGTTTAAAAACATAAATTAACTGGAAATGTCGTAGTGTAAAAACACTGTCTTGCTCCAATCTCGCATAAAACTAATTCTAACAGTCCTTGCCGGAAATGACATCAGCATCATTTTCGATATTTATATGAAACCTTAATTAAGTAGAATTATTTATCAATTTCTTTATCAAAAATTGCTTATCTCACATCAAAATAAATAAATAAGTAAATAAATAAATAAATAAATAAGCTCTTACATTTATTTTTGAAAAGTTTAGCCTAATTATCCCCACCTGATGTGCATTTGCTAATAGGACAAAAATATAAATAAGCACATACCTAGGGGTGGAGACACTAGCAAAATGGCTGAAACCAAAAAACAAAGAAAAGTCATTTTTCAAAAAGAGGAAATTAATATTATTTTAGAGGAGGTGGAGCTACAAAAACATATAATTTTCAGCAGGTTTAAGGGCAGTCACACAAATAAAGAAAAACAAAAAATGTGGGACGATATTGCTACAAAACTTACTGCAACAAGGGGGATTAAAAGATCAGGGAATGAGGTCAGGAAGAAGTGGCAGGACTTTTCAAGCCTAGCTAAAAGAAAAAGGGCACTGCAGAGGACAACAATTAATAAAACAGGTGGTGGGCCTAATGACGCCCCCATTCTTACAGCAGAAGAAGAAAAGGCACTGTCAATTCTTGGAACAACTGCCTCAGATGGGATTTGTGGTGGGATTGACCTCCATGGAGGAGAAGGGTTGCGTCAACCTGAACCTGAGTCAGGTCCATCATGTTCACAAGAGCAATCAGGTTCACCTCCTATTGACAGACAGCTACCATCTCCCAGTCCTCCCAACAGTCCAACAGACCAGCCTCCATCTTCAATTGTTCAGGCTACAGCCACAACACCGCGATTTGAGAATATCTGTGGTTGTAGTCAGGACTTGGTACAGCTGGAGCGAGAGAAATTAGATGTTCTAAAAGATATCAGACAATCTCTTAAAGAGGCCAATGAGATGAATTACAACTTTCAGAGGGAAATCATTGAACTTAAGAAGGCCAAGATGGCTTTGGAAGAGAGGAGACTTTCACTGGAGGAGATGAGTTTTGCAAGGCCCTCCATTTCAGTGCCAATTATCTTGCCAGATGAGTCAGGTAAGATTGTTCAATGTTGTTTAATCATGAATAATTATATGTTTTAATAAAATATGTTGTGCAACATGAAATATTCTTTTCCATATGTACACTCATCACATTTTGCCATGTCTTTTGCAGATCCTGGGGAACAAACTACAAACTTGAATCAATAAAAATTGTTTAAATGCAATGTTTTGATGTTTGTTAATCCACTCAAAGTCTAAGGCTCAATGAAATACTAATAAGCAGAAGAATTCTTATTATATTATCATATCATAAGTGTTTCAAATTTAAATAGCTACTTGTAGTCTCTTTAAAAAAGTAATAAGCATGCAAGTCCTATGGGCTAGTTTCACAGACAGGGCCAGGATTAGGCCATAGTTCAATTAGATTTAAGTATTTTTTTTTTATAATTGCGCCTTAGAAAAAAAATTACTGGTGTCCATCTTGAGACAAAACAAAGGGACTGATATATTTTAGGATCAGTCAGTGCAAGTGTCCTTCAGTTGAAAAAGCTCAGACTTACATTTTAGTCTGGACTATAGGCTTAAGCATTGTCTGTGAAAAGAGGGGTATATATTTTACTACAGCTCGAGTCTTGATGTGTGTGGCAATATAGTATTAGGGCCTATCTATTAGCCTATCCATATAGGTGCAGAAAAATTCTTAATGTGCACATTCTTTATTAGCACTGTTTTATATAAATGTAAATCTTTGACCATTATGAACCTAACAAGAGAATAAATTCAGGGAAGAGGTAATTAATGCAATTTCTAAAATCAATGATTCAGTTTCTTCAAGTGGGGCCTACTGCAATTAGTGAAATAGATGACAATCAGTGTGTGACATGTGAATATTATCACAGCCTGAAAAACTTTAATCATATGGTTCCTGTGAGCAATTTTAGGATAGTATATAAAGTTCACACTTCAGTAGTCTTGCAGAGTAAATCATGGCTGCACTACAGCGAGTTTTCCAGCTGAGAGTGAGGCAAAGAGAAAGGCAAAGACAAAGACAGAGACGACCACAGAGTACACTATGTACTATAAATGCCTTCATCAGGCAGCATCAAAATCCTCTGGATATGCTTGATGATATGGCTGTCATTCACAGGTACCGTCTGCCACGAGGAGAAATAGTCCAGCTGCTCAATGTCATTGGGCCTCAGCTGATGCGTGCTACAAGAAGGAATTTTGCCTTGTCCCCTGATGTGCAACTCTTAGCTGCTCTGAGATATTATGCAACAGGCAGTTTTCTTCAGGTACTTGGAGATGGACTTGGACTAAGTAAACCATCTGTGTCCAGAGCTGTACAAGCAGTCACCTATGCACTGCTTCCACTTGCAGCTGAACACATCAAATTTCCAGCATCAAGACAGGCCATGTCAGACATTCAGGAGTATTTTCTAACACATTACCATATACCACAAGTCATTGGAGTCATTGATGGTACTTTAATTCCCATCAGTACGCCTTCTGTGGATGGCCATACATATATATGCCGCAAAGGTTATCCAGCAATCAACTGCCAAGTGATCTGTGACCATAACTGTTTAATCACAGACATTGTTGCAAGGTGGCCTGGGAGCACACATGACTCCTATATCTTTACCAACTCATCTGTGGGTCAAGAGGCCCAAAACTCAAACGGACATTGGAGGCTGCTTGGTGACAGCGGATATCCATTGAGGCCATATCTGTTCACCCCTGTTGCTAATCCTGTCAGTAACAGTGAGGCACATTTCAACGAGGCTCACCGTGTTGCCCGAAGTACTGTGGAGCGCACTTTAGGAAGGTAGAAGCTACGCTTTCGGGCTATTCACAAGTCCAGTGGTGGTCTTCTCTTTGTGCCACAAAAGTGCTGTGCTGTAATAACAGTAACAGCTATGTTGCACAACATTGCAGTGAGGGCAAGAGTGCCCTTGGACATCAGGGAGGAAGATGAAGAGGTGGAGGAAGAGAATGAAGTTGAGATGAGAATTCATGATGATCAGCCAAGACATGTTCAATACATGGCTGGGTTTGGGGCACGCCAGCAAGTCATTGACACATTTTTTTGAGTTCCTCCTTTATTTGTGTCATCTTTAAATCACATTAAATATTTTCTGTTAAATACAACATATGTAGCCTACTACCCTCGAAATGTCCATATACAACAGTGTAATTTTTTTTTTCATTCTAACATTTATTATGTAATTTTTATTTTTTTCTTTATTCATTATTATTTGTATATTGAATTGTGTAATGTGTAAAAAATATAAATGAATAGAGATATACGTACAAATAAAATGAATAATGACTTTGAAGAGAAGTAAATTGTAGGTGCAATTTGCCGGTTGTCCAGCAGGTGCCCTCATAACTCTGTCTCCTTACGATGCACTTAAGGCTTTACGATTACTCCAGAGCACTCGTAGATCCACTAAGATTTTCAAGTGCTACTTAAGTTACGATGCTTTTGGGAAACAGACCGTAATATTAAGATCAGTCGTACGATCATTTCTACGAACTTCTTAGGCTTACGATGCTTTTGGGAAACACAGCCCTGACCAGTTTCATCTATATCAGGGTATATAAACTTGCTCCTGGAGGGTTGGTGTCCTGCATATTTTGGTTCCAACCCCAATTAAACACACCTGAACCAGCTAATCAAACTCTTTCTAGGTATACTAGAAGCTTCCAAGGAGGTGTGTTGAAGGAAGTTTGAGCCAAAATATGCAGGACTCTGGTCCTCCAGGACCGAGTTTGGACACCCCTGATGTATATGATTCACTGATTCACATGACCTGGTCAGAACAAGTCTTCTGTATAAGATTGACTTCTTAAAATGATCTGCTCAGAGCAAGTCTTTAGCTTATAATTCACTAATTTACTGATTCTCATGACCTAATCAGTGCAAATCTCCTCTAAATAATTTACTGATTCAAACAACACAGGCTCATTTTGAAAACATATCCCTATAAACCTTTCTGGAGATTTTGAATTATGTAGCCAGAGCTACGCATGGCTGGATTTCGTCTTTGAAAACGAATGATACAGGGCAGTATGATGCCGTTGGTTCTTTTTTTGGCTCAATCAGTTCTTTTAAAAATACTATCGGTTGGGTTTAGGAAAGTGGGAGAGTGGGGGGATCGGTCGGTTGGTCAGCCAGTCAGTCAACAGCAGCTTCTAGTGAATTTATGCGAGAAAAGCAAGCAAGAATGGCACGCACAAAATAAGTTATTGAATTATTAAATCTTAAATATAAAAATCCTGGTTGCCTTAAATTTTTAAGCTGAACTGAATTAACCTTATGAGTCCACTGAACTTATATTATGTTAAACTGACTTAAAAGAGCTTGCTCAACTTATGAAATTGGGTTACAATTTACCTATAGTGCAATTTACCTATAGCGCAATTCACCTATAGTGCATATCTTTGGGCTTATGGTGGAACTGAAGTATCCTAAGGAAACCCTCACGAACACAGGTAGAATTTGCGAACATGGAACAAGGGTTACTTTAGTAGCCGGAGTGTTAAATGACTTTTAGACAATGCTGCTTTTGTCATGATTTAATTGTTAATTTAAACAACCTTTGAGTATTAAAAATTGGAAAACCAAATGAAAGAAAGGCCAAAAACAACAAGAAAAGCAAGCCTGCACAAACTGGAAAGTGGTGACATCATTTTTTTAAACTGGCCAGCACTGATCAGTGTGGGGTAATAGACATCATAGAGTCTGACATCATCACTACTGGAAGAGACCAGACTATTGGTCTACTTGATCAACTGACTGTCATTCACGGGACGTTTCAATTAAAGTTCTTTTCCAGATGAATATTACTTGCGCTAATGTCATTTGTCAAATTGTTTATCAAATTTTCCAGGAATTGATTTTTTTCCAGAGGACCAAATCACAATTGGTTCCAAAGAAACTGCGCTAGGGGGGATTCACTTGATATGGAACAGGCTTTGTGTTTTAACAATGACTCAATGTAAGTCATCATAGTTTATTTTGGGTTTAAGTAATGCTTCAAAAGAGACTGAGGTAAAGAGTTGACTTTGAGGTTGAATCTCTGAACCACTTGAAGTAGTGAAGTGGAATATAAAAAGTGGAATATAAATATATATTTTTAATAAGATAAAACTGGGGTCTTGTCTGGGATCTAATCTCAGGATGTGTTAGGACTCAAAGAAAGATATTTAATTTTTTTTAAGTTTCACAAGTACTTGTGCAATACCCAAAAACATTGTACAAGATAAGATGATTTTAATTTATTTTAACCAAAAAATCATTTAAATATTAAGTAATGATCATCTTCTATGAAAACATTGTGTACGTCATACAGTAAATATATCAAAGTTGAACTGAATTTGTTTAAATTCAAAGGTCATTTTCTCAGTATTTTGCAAACCATGTTGGTCAAATATTGCCATATCCGAACTAATATCATATCAACAGAAATGTTATGTATGCTTTACATTGTGTATACATCACGATTTCCAAAACAAATGTTGCTTATCTGTGGTTTTGTGATTTAAGAGCACATTTCAGGGACTTTCACACTGGATAAACTTTTTGACAGTTTCTAGAGCTACTGGAAGATGAACCCACTTTTTGGCATGTTCACACAACAGTAACTGAAGATTATTCCGTCAAGGATTGGCTTTTAGGGGAACTTCACAAAAAGGGTCTAATCCACACACATAATATGCCAATTGGCCAAATGAATGACTTACAAATAACCTGTATTGTTTTAGAGTTTTCCAAGACATAAACATTCAGTGTGTAAGTTCATGTTAGCGCCATTTTCCCATTGCTTTTGTGGCATTGTGTTCTTTTCTCAGCCTAAATGTTTCGTACTATAGCAATACAGTTATCATAGGTGAGTTAATCCTCCTTTATACTGTTTATGTTGAATACCTTATACAGTCTGCCTATGCTGCATATATATTATCTAGAAACACAAGGCACGCAATGAAAAAAGCTAAAAAAAAAAAATTCTTAGAAGGATTTCAAGAGTTCACACTTAGCTGATGATTAATTGTAAAAGCTTGTTTGGCATGCTGTCCCCGGAGAGAGCCCTGAGCTCATGAGATCCTCGAGCCCAGGGCTCCCTCCCGTTGCAAGGCGGGAGGGGAGTTTGAGCTCAGGTAGATCTCGAGAACTCCCCAAAATGCCTTTGTATAGCTCGGGACAGCAGCCGCATATTGAAGAGCCTCCCAAAAAGCAGGTGTAACAAAGCCATATCTGGCTGCTGGATATAGCGTTGATAGCTTAGGAAGAGAAGCTCCTGCAGGAGCAGAGCAAAGTAGACTGCTAGAGCCTAGGCGGGGTGAGGGCAGGGCTGGATTGACTCCGCGGGAGTCAAGGCTCAAATATTTACACCCCTGCGGGGGTGGGAACTGGGGTTAGATTGCTAAAGCAAGAGTCAGGAAGGTTTGGGCGGTGAAGACTCCTGCATGAGAGGGTGGGAGGTGGCCAGGGCCTGAACTCCTGCAAGAGTTGAAGCTCGTTTTAGTCGCTCCTGCGGGAGCTAGAGCTGAGGATTGAGGGCCTAAGCGGAAGGAAGAACATAGCAAATAAGCGACGCTGAAAGAAAAACAGTTAGCGGAGAACTCAACGCTGGAAAAGAAATTGAAGAAATAGAAGGGTAAGGAGATAAGGGGGAGATCAGAGAAGGGTAAAGGTAGCGGAAGCACTCACGCTGTAAGGAAGAAAGAAGGGGCAGATAATTGCATGAATATATATGGTTATTACATAGGTAAGGGCCGGGCATGGGTGGTGATTGACTCCTGCGAGAGTCGAAGCTCGGAGCGACCCCTGCGGGGGTCAGAGCTGCTGTAAGCATTTCTCAAAACCCAGTCAGTCTCCACCGCCCCCTCCCTTTCCTAGACTTCAGCAGGAGGTGGCCGGGGCGGGACTCTTGCGAGAGTCGAAGCTCGTTTTAGTGACTCCTGCGGGAGTTAGAGCTGAGGATTGATGGCCTATGAGAAAGGAAGAAAAAGAGAGGGCGGAGGAACTCGACGCTGAAGGCAGAAAAGGAGAGAGGGGATAACCTGCAAGCGTGTGCATGCACATGCGTCCATTTGTGCTTCAGCATATGCATGCAAACGCATCAGTACAGGTATACATCGGATGTACGCGCATAACGTGCAAATACACACATACCCATGCGCACCCATACACAAGCACGCACACACGCACACTCACTCCAGCCTACTTAGGGTCGAGCTTGTACCCTTAGTTGGAGTTTGGTATTTAGCTAGTTAGGGCTAGCTGGGCTGTCTTGAGGTGGGATTGGCTGAGGCGAATGTAAGCTTTGAAGGCATCAGAGGACCAGCGGCCATAGCCTGGATTTGGTGAGAGGATAGGCCTTGTGAGCTGCTGTGGTGGCTGCGCCGATTCTAAATGAATGGCTGGAATACAATTCAGGGGGAAAGCCTGAAGGCGAAGGACTTCTTATAGGTGTTTTTGAAACCAAAAACGGGTTACTGGACTATTAGCGTCATCAGTAAAAAGTGGGGCATGTGGGCTTAATGAAAAGGGTGAGGGTTTCAGCATTCTGTAGTGTTAGATCAGAAATAGTAGGGTGTATAGCGGGGTTACGTTTGGATGCGATAGCCATTTCTGAACACCTCAGGAAGCCAAAATAGCCAGAGTAAACATGGCGTCTAGTGCACGGGCTGGATGCAATGGGTGGTTTATGACAATATCATTTGTGAATAATTTGGGACAGGAGTTGGATGCTAGTCTGCTTCTGGTGCCAAGAGCCGAAGTTTCTAAAAAAGAAAACAAGAGAGAATCAGCAATTTGACTTTTGCAACCTGGGGCCACGTTGAAGTGATACAGTGACCCTGGTAAAAGCCGCCAAACCTGGCTGAGGGGGCAGTGTCAGTGAATAAGTTAATATCCACCGGAGAACAATTTAAGTCGCTGTAGAAAAGGAACAGCCGTTCCTTCTAAACTGGGGACTGAAGAGAAGAGCTAAAGGAGGTATGGAAGGAAGGGATGCTTGAATTTATTCGAATCTAGGTTGATGCCCAGGAATTCTATAGAAGTGCTGGGACCAGCTGTTTTCTCCTCTGCAAGGGGGATCCTTATATACTCGAAACCTTTGGGTGATCATCAAGTATTTA